GAGAGACCACATGGAAAGGCCATGTGGAGGGGAAAGGTGCTAGAACTGCATGGAGAGAAAGGCCCTGCCCCCCCCCCACACACACCCATCCAGCCAAGCCCAACCTCCTTGCTATCCCGACGAGGCGGCCGATATAAGAACGAAACCATCACAGATGCTGTAGCACCAGCCACAACCTTCCTGCAGCCACACAAAAGACCCCAAGCAAGACAGCAGAAAACCCATCCAGGTGGACCCCAGGCAGCCCACCGAATCATAAGAAATCATCAACTGGTTGTTGGTTTGAGCCATTCCGTTTGGGGATCTTTGCTATGTAGCAATAGATTACTGAAAGAATGGCAAGAGAATGGAAACGATCCCGACTATGGAAGGTGATTGATTTTTCCCATCCTCTGCATGGCCAACAACACCTTTTCCCCATCAGCCCTCTTCCCTAACCCTGAACCACTTCCACAGCATTGCTAACCAAGCTTTCACCTTCCTGGAGAAAGCCTTTAAATCAGACGGCAGCCAGAACCCCGGGCATACGCAGAACAAAGGATCCTAATAGAAGCTGATGTTTGAAAGAGGTAGGCATCCAGACGCATTACTGCCGCTGCCGCCGCTACACTGACTTCTCCTGCTGGTGAACATACGGCAGTTGTGCCTCAGAGCTCCCTTGCCAGCAGGAGGTCAAAACGCCTTGCCTAAACACAAGACTTACAAATTTGGGATCTTAAGTATGATGTCATGTCTTAAAACGATAAGCTGGCAAAGAAAACAAATGGCATTCTGCAAAGATGTGCACCGTTTTCATGTTTACGCTACTTAAGATGAAGGTTCTCATAAGTCATCGGCTATGTTCCTTTAAAGGGAAGTTTTATAACCGAGATGAATCACAACTGCAGAAGATCAAAGTTAAAAAACATCAATGATGCCATGGGGTACTTTTTAATCTTGTAATGAGTGATGATCATGTGCTCTTATGAAGTTAGTCCAACTGCCAACGCCAGATGTGTATATTAAGAAAAGAAGTTGTTTGTGATGTGACAGCACTGCTTCAGCTGCCAGAGACAGAAAACATGGAAGGATGAAACCTTTCTGATTTTTGAGTGAAAAGCAAGTCTTGGCAGATGTGCTGATAAGCAGGGCCTGGAAGGGGGGCACCGGTGCCCTGGCGTCCTCTGGAGCTGCTCCTTTGCTGCAAACCGCGTTTCTCATCACTTCTGCAGAGCTGTCCCTGGGCAGCACGAATACCTGCTCAAGGCACCATTTCTAACGCTGATGAGTGTCATTTGCTACGCGCAGAAATTAGTAAAACTGTCTACAAGAAAAAAAAAATAGTATACGAGGGAGCAGAATCTAGATTCTAATCTATTTCCCGGAAGGATATTATAAGCAAATCTCTATAGCAAACTTTTGACACTGAAGTAATTTATGTAAAAATGGCTAACGCTTAACGGGCAGTAAATAGATGCCAGTCCCTGTATTATGTGTTTTACACACATTACATCATTTAACACCTTTGCAGCAACTGATGAGGAAAATACTGTCATTATTCTCACTTTAACAGATGAGGAGACTAAGGCAAACAGAACGTAGGTGACTTGCCCACCACACATAACTAGGAAATGGGGGAGGGGGGATTTCAATCCAGTCAGTCTGACACCAAAGCCTACACCCTTAATCACCATGTTTGGCTGAATAAAGACCCAACCCGTTAACTCAGAACTTGTCTTTGTCCAAAGAGCTGATCTACCAAAAGTAGCCTGTTCAATATATCCCCTGATCTCAGGAAAAAGGAGTAAAACTCCATTAACAGGAATAAATGCTATAAAATCCTTAACTCCATCAAACCATTACAACAATAAAGAGATGTATCCTATTTCTATGACAACCACTACTTAAATAATGATAATTTTGCTGGAGGGAAGGTTAAGACAATTGCATTGACTTTCTCTCTCCTCAGGAAAGCCTTTTTCTAAGGCTCTAGTCTGGTAAGGGTTAATGATATAAGCCATTCTGAAATCCAGAACAAGGGTTGACAAACTGCAACTTGTATGCCAAATCCGACCTACCACCTGTTCTTGTAAATAAAGATTTATTGAAACACAGCCACAACCATTCGTTTACGAAATGGCTAAAGCTGCTTTTAAGCTACAATGCCAGAGTTGAATATTTGTGATAGGAAAGATATGGCCCACAGAGCTGAAATTATCTATTTGACACTTCATAGAAAAAGTTTGCCAACCCATATTCTAGACTTTTTTTCCCCATTTAACATTATATATGCACCAATCAATCAAAATCCTATTATAGTTGAAGAAAATGGAAAATACTGGGCATATTTCACACCTGGGAGTCTCGAATTTAAAGAACAATATTGAGGGGTGCCTGGGTGGCTCAGTGGGTTAAGCATCCAAATTCGGCTGTTTGGCTCTGTGCTGATAGTTCAGAGCCTGGAGCCTGCTTTGGATTCTCCCTCTCTCTCTGCCCCTCCTCTGCTCACATTCTCTCTCTCAAAAATAAATAAACATTAAAAAATAAAGAACAGCATTAAGAACAGTGCTATACACTCAATGCCCAAGATGGCCAAAAGCAGAGCAGAAAAAATAATATAGGATAGAGAGTCAAGGTTATAGGATTAAGATGTTACGGATACCATACCCATCCTTGTATCCAGGCACTGAGGTTGGCAAGCCACCTTGCATGATGTCAAAGAAATGACTTCACACTGTCCCATAATTTCTGGTTCGTGAAAAATGTTACTCAGGCTAAGCTAGGGCAGTGGTCTGCCACTCAAGAACTCTATCTACCACCCCTCCATGCCCTATCAGCAGCACCCAAAGCCTGAACTCAGGTCACATATATACCATCTGCCTCTCTACTCTGAACCCTCCTTGCTTTCAGAGCACTTCTCTGCCTTTACAGGGCAGCAAGCCTATCAATGAATTAATTCTGCCAAAGACCTCCTGGGGACGGGGAGCCTGGGTGGCTTAGTCGGTTAGGCGTCCGACTTTCGCTTAGGTCATGATCTCGCGGTTGGTGGGTTCGAGCCCCGCGTCGGGCTCTGTGCTGACTGCCAGCTCAGAGTCTGGAGCCTGTTTCAGCCTGTGACTCCCTCTCTCTCTGACCCTCCCCTGCTCACGCTATCTTTCTCTCTCTCTCCTAGAAATAAATAAAAATCTTTAAATAAAAAAAAACAACAAAAACCTCCTGGGGACGAGGGAAGGGTATCCTCCCTTGAAAGAGAAGGGGCTTTCCCGAAGCTACCCCGTTTCCTCACCATTTGTCATCCCTTTCAGAATGGGGCAGCGCCCACCCATCCTTCCCTGTTTCCTCTCCCAACCATCAACCTTTGAACATCAACTCTTGAGTGTAAGGACACACACACAGAGACATGCAGACATACGCTCACATAATAATGGTTTTTCCAAGAACTGAGAAGAGCTGCTGAGATCAGCAGGAAACATCTTTAAAAGATAAGGATTAGCAGTGTTCAATGTTAAAAGACTACTGTCCTGCTTAATGCATGACTGCAATGGCTGTCCCTGCCTTTTGAGGAACTCAAGGGCTAATGAGAGAACCTGTGTCTTCCATCACAAGTCGTCTTCCCCGATTTAGGGCAGTCCAGAAAAGTCAGCCAAAGCACCAAGCCAGACAAGACAGCCCCTGTTCTGCTCTAGTCATCTGCACCGCATAGCCACTGGCCCTTAGGACCAGAGACTTGGGCTACTAGCAGCACGTGTGTGGCAACCCCCTAATAGACCATTTGCAAACCGGACAGAGCCAGCAGCTGACTCGACCTTGTGAATCGAAAAGAAGCAATACACATGAAAGGAGGAGAAAAGAAAAACCTCAAAGACTGGCTTTTGAGGCAGGAAACCTCCCTAACTTCAGACAAGCAGTCAGCCTTTGTGAGAAGAGACAGCGGCAAGAGGAACCGAAGGCACCGTCTGTTCCCGCCGCGAGAAGACATGCTACTTGGGGAGAGGAAAACGTCACCAGCTCTTTTCCCTCAGTTTTAGGGGAAGAGAAGATATGTCACTCTCACTGTCTAGGCAGGTGTATCATCATATAACAAATACTTCCACCAGCTGCACCTCCATCACAAACCAAATTAAACTCTCTAAACACTATAGCTAGGACTTCAACGTGTTCACTCACCAAAGGCAGAGTTCACTATGTTTCCACTGGCATAGAATTTTTCATGTTGTATAAATCAAATAATCTTTAATCTCTAAATATGTCTCAATGGTTCTGTATCAAGTTTGATCAAATCAGTTTTGGGGTGGGGGAAAGCCTGTCTCAATTTAGATTTAGGAGGAAAATGCATACTGATTGGCCCAAATGGATTATGGGCACTACCTTAAATGGACACTGGATGAACCTTCTGGACGTCCAGACAGACAAACACCCAAAGGAAGATTTCAACCTGGTTTGACTCTATCTGTTAAAAGAAACTATCTATAACAATTACCAGAACATGACCAAGCAACCGTGTTGTAACAATCAAGCAAGTTATCATTTGCAAATAAATTCTTTGTAATTAAGCAGTGTGCTCTTTATAAAGGGAATTGAGTGGGCGAGCTAAAAAGTTAAAACACATTCTTAGACCATGGGAAACACACGCAAATGCTTTTTGACTAAGCTCAAGATTCTGCAGTCTGTTGTTTTCCTCCTCAGCTCTCATGGGTCTGTTCTGCCCTGTCTGTTGTGTGCAGCGGGTGAGCAGGGTGCCTTAGCAAGTAGTTACAGTGACTGAGTAAGTGTCCACTCGTGTCCCCAAGCTGTGGAGGCCTTAGCAACTTTGTGGCAAAGTCAAAAGTGTGATCTGATCTTCTATCAACTGTGAAGTTCCACTAACTGTCCCCCGTTAAAAATACACACAGGTAACACAGGGAGCAGACTTGGCAAAGAGACCATTTACGTACAAGTAGCGCTAACTTCTTTGGGATAAATTCCTCCTAGGGGTCTCCACACACCCTGTTACCATCTCCAATAGGAAGGCAAGTACTTACTTCTGGGTTCCCGGGGTCCATCCACTGTAACTTTAATAGCTCTGTGATAGGTGGCTACTTGGGGAGGGTTTGTGAAGACAGTTATGGTCAAGGTGAAACTCTTGCCTGCAGATGTAAAGGGGAAAATCCATAGTGAATATAAAAAGACAGTACCAATGGTAACAGCAGCACAGATGTCCAAATTGCACGTCGGCATCGCTGAGGGGCTCGCGAAACCAAGTCAAGAGTCAGGGCTCCTTGCTTTGAATTAGAAAGCCTTTGAGGGCCATTGATCACACACGTAGAGTGTGTGGGTCATCATCTCCATCGCAGCTTTATACAAGTGGGCTCCATTTCCCAGAAAACAGTGGCAACAGTTGTAATGAAAACAGAGAGTCTGGTCCACTTGAGGAAGATTCTCTTCCTTTCGGCTTTCTCCAACATCAGGAACGCATCCAAACACAGACGATTTTAGAAGTCTTTATTTAGGATTAGGTCATGACCCCATGAGAAAACAATAGTAAATCACTGTTGATTATGTTATTTACTTCACATGGCTTCGGCATTTCATTTGCTTAACTGCACTACAATAAGAAGATGAAAGAGAAAGGTTCTTATGGGAATCATTTTAACAGGAGCCAGTGTCTCCTGTCCTGGCCTTAATGTGCCTGTGGTATGATGATTTCATCATTACTGGAACAAAGTTTTTCTTCTCCCTGCCCACCCCCTTTCCCTAAACACCCATCCTTGCTGTTCAATCTTGAAACAACTCCCTGACAGTGACTTAGGTTTTGCTAAATGTATACGACATCTCCCAATATAAATATGAATTTTCACTTTTTAGCAGAGGGTGTGCTTCATCCAAATATTACATCTGATGTTTCAAATTAATGAGCTAGAGGTGATGAACAGAGGTGGGGGGAGGGGGGGTGGGAAAGACAGGGAAAAGCTTGATAGCAGAATCGAATGTTTGCTTTCTCCAGAAGAAGGTACCAGACCCTGCTCCCCGGACTCACTGACAGTTGTAATCAGTTAGATTTGCAACGGTTAGTCATGTCAGATAGTCAAAACTGCAAACTGTTACAAGACAGGAAAAGGTGGGCGTGAAACAGTGACTCAATAAAACCTTCAGCGATCGCAGGCCAAGCATTCATTTGGCCTGCTCCTGTAACAGACCTTGAAGCAGCTCATTTTGTTTTGCTTTGTTTTTTGGGCAGAGACTGTTTTTCCCCTTTACTGAAAGCTTGAGGGTATTAAATCAAAACACAAATCTTGAACAATATGTAGCAATGCAGACTTTAATGCAATCTTTTCAAAGCTTAATATGGAACAGGTTATATACAAGGCTTAATGTAGAACAGGTCATCGGCTGTCAAATCTAGTGAATGGGTTTTCTTTTCAACCCAGACCATGTAAGCTCCTAAAATATGTTTAAGACACACATCATTTGTTACTCAGTATATATAGTTTTAAGTCTCTTTGGCTATGCTTTTCCATGGCCAATATTAAAAAAAAAAAAAAGGAAAGAGAAAACAGAAGTGGGGAGGAGGACAGACAGTGAAAGATGAATATTGATTAGAAAACTGTTAAATGCTGGTCCCTTCATACACATTATCTCACTTAATCCTATCCAGTTAGGTTCATCGCCCCCATTTCACAAATGAGGAAACCAAAGCCAGGGAGGCTTAGTAAGTCAACCACACAACTAATACGAAGAAAAAAATCCGGGTCTGAACCCAGGTCTGCCAGAGCTTAAAATCAATGCTCTTCTTTTTAACTTTGTCAGAGACCATCCTAAAAAATTAATTAGATAATGTATTTCTACACATGTCCCCATCAGCTCTGTAAGACCAAGAAACAGTAAATATAAATCCACTCATGTAGTATCTCAGCCAGGATGATGAAAGCATCAATTCTTTAAGGATCACTGATCTATCATATTTCATCCATTATACATTGAATGTTACATGGGTTTAAAGATGCAGTTGTCGGGGTAGGGACCAGAGGGTTTGTTATAAACATTTGGGCTAACTGGAAGAAAAAGGTAGCTGGGAGTCTAACCCAGTTACAGAAAGCTCAAGCGTCTACAGAGTCAGAGATTAGAATGTTGAATAGGAAGCACGGGATCCAGATCAAGACCTCAAAATAGCATAGAGATCTGGAAGGGTGAATGGGCTGGTTCCCTAGAGTGAAAGTTAATTTACATTAAGCCACAGAAGATGTCGGATCAACAGTCCACGAACCAGGACTGTAGTCCTCAAAGGACAGTGCTTGGAGGGCAGGTGCCATCCATGACACGAATATGTCATGGACGTATATGTCTTGATTGTCCTTGATGGGCCTAAGGTGCCTGCTAGCGATACAGTCCATGAATTTACCAAAAACTCGTTCTGGGACTACTTCTATTTGAGACTTACTTTATTTGAGACACATCTTACTTAGGCTTTTAAAAGTCATCAATGCTTCTCCCAATTTCAAACACCTTGCATAAGAAGAAAAGCCAATTATAAAATTCACGTTATAAGTATGAAGCATCGAAATGTTCAAAGCAGAACCAGTAAATGTTTCTTTTTCAAAAAAGATAGGATTTGGGGGGGTGGGTAGAAAACAAGGATTTAAGTATGACTACACTCTGCTAAATCAAATCCTGAGGAGCAAGATGTACTTTAACAACAGAAATAAAAATTCAGGAGGTTCCTTCTACCTCTTCTTGCCCCTTCAGAAGGAACATGAACATAATGTTCAAGAAACTTCCAGAAACTGCCACCCAACAAAGCAATTGGTTTTTCACCTTAAAAGCAATAACCCATTTCCAGAATCAAATGTTTATGTGAGTATTCATAATTTACTGAAATTTTCAGAAAAAAATTTTAAAAGCCCTTTTTCCGTTGCTTGTCACTTTCCGTAAGTGATAAAAAAAAAAAAATTCAGGCTTCTATTTAAAAATGCAGGCTCCTACTTAGGGAGCTGGCTCATTAGACAACTAATTATATCATCCTTGGCTTCATCTAGGAACTAGTTCCAAATTATTATGTCCTTAAGACATATATTTTTTCGGATAAACATTGGACCTATCATTGAAAGACAGTTGTAACCTGGCTTGAGAGGCTGTGAGGAACAGTCAATAGGGAAGGGCTTCAAGCAAGGATTATATCTTAGGCTGATAGAGTATCACGCTCTGTACAGTACAGGTGCTTATAAATAACTTGTAAACTGAAAGCAGCATGTTTGATATAAAAGTGAGGAAGCACACCACGGAAACTTAAGGACTAACTCTTTCTGTTTTAAATACCAAACAGATACTTCCGTTGAAAATATAAAGGAGAAAAAAAGGAAAAGACTAGAAAACATAAACCACTCCTAACAATACAGGTGTCAGTGATGCTCTCATTTTAATTCAAAGGACTTGCAAAAGTCATCTGATAACCCATAATGTCAAAGTAAGCAGTGAAGTGACTCCCTTATAAATCTCAAACTGTTTTTCCTCTTCTAAGAATTTCTATTTCTACCACTGAAAAGGAAAAGTGTTAACATTCAAGAAACTCTGCTTTTCATTTTTTAACGCTACTCAAAATAGAAAATTTTAAATGGCTGGGAGAAAAAAATACAATGGTAGCAATGTGATGATGATCCAGGCTTTGTAACTTAGGAGGAATATAGAAGTGTGAAAACCAAAGAGGAAGCTGGAAAGAGTTTTTTAAAAAGCAGGTCAGGTACACAGGCAGGTTAAAGGGTTTCCTGCCACTGAAAAAAACTGACCCATTTTTTTTTTTTTTCAGTGACTGGTATCTCTTATCAGGGCTGTCTTTTTCCTCTTCGTTTTAGTTTGATTATCACTGTTTCCTTTCATATAACACTAATGCCATGATATAAAGATCTATTATTAGTGATAAATCAATTTTTCTTTCTCTCTCCACTCGCTCCCCCCACCCACCCCCAATCTAAGTCTCGAAGACAAGTCTGGACCAATTTCTCCATCCTGCCTCTGGCAGCAGACTGTAGCATTTCAGAGCCTCCACCAAGTCCCGGCTGCTTCAAAGGAAAAATCCCTACTTTCTTCAGTTAAGATCATAAGAAATATAGGGGGAGGGGGTCAGCTCTGTTTGGACATAATTACACTTCATCAAAAGAAGCTTTCTTCATCTTCCATGCGTGAAAAGTCTGCAAGCAGTTAAGTCTGTCTTTTTTTTTTTAAATATAAAAATTGCTATTTGGGAAACCAGCCAAAACTCAGAAAGCCAATATAGTAAAACAGTGCACACCCTTTGTTTCTCTTTGAAGTTTCTTAAATAAATATGTTGAGGGTTTACAAAGTACACTATCACTTTGCCATAGTTTCTACTCAAATTGATCAGAGAAAAGTTATGCAGCATCTATGTAATATAAAAGCAAGGTAAATGGAAACACTAGCTTGAATTTGCAAGGCATAGTGTCCAGTCTTTTAAAAACGGAAATTCATTACTCTAATTAAAAACAAAGTAATGTTACATAAGAAGAAAGATGCAATTCAGACCATTCAGGTAAATCATCATGTTCAAATTTTTCTTGATTCCTACCAGAAAAAAGAGAAACTTTTATTGTACTGTGGACCTGTACCAGTTAACAGGAAAAAAAAAAAAATATACACTTCACACTGCATCAATCAACAGTGAGATAGGATGTGTCTTTTTTCCTTTTAATGAAAGTAAACTAAATCTGATGCAGAGATAACCCCTTTAGTTTTGAGTCTACCAGAGGTTCTGAGCCTCATTTTATTTCAAACAAGCTTTCAGTGACAGTATCTCATTAGCATGCATCATTTTTTTTAAGTTAAAAAGTACAGCTTCTTGGCCCTGTTCCTAGAAAGTAAACTAAAACTACTCATCGGAAACAGCCCTGCTTGAATTTCCCTTATCAAGTTTTTACAATGGTAATAATATGACATCTGATCCAAACTAAAGAGCAATTATCGGACATGGTTTAAAAATTGATGCTTCTTATTTCCTAATTCAAACCTGGGTAGAAGTCCTTCCAAAGGTCGTTATAATTTATTTCACCTCTGTCCTAAGGTGATCTATTTTCTCTCCTCGTATCAAAACACTTAAAATAGAAATATTAGATTCAATAAATACATGAATGAACATAATACTTCTTCTCATGAAGGACGATTAAAATTCTCTCTACGGGAGAATAAGTAAATAAAAGGCAAAATGTTGGTTTCCTTAGAGACTATTTTCTAAAACATTAATCCCCTTTATGAAAATCCTACAAGAAATTATTTTCTATTTTATGATCTTTTTAAGGACTCCCAGTATTTGAATATGGATGTAGCTCGGAGAGACCTTCAAATAATGTGGGATTCAGAGTCTTAATCATTCGTGTGTCTAGGCAACTCTATATAGTCATTCTAACATAGGTAACACATCATTCTTTACAGCCTTCTGTAAAAAACTAGGATTTTTTAAAAAATAGACTCTTATTACAAGAGTAAGTTCAATCACCAGGAGGTAACATGGGATAGATAAGGGAAGAACATTACAGTGGTTGTCCTTGCTACGACTTACAACAAAGTTGATATTCTCAGGAAATTGATCCAATGCATTCTTTTTCTGTCTTCTCTGCCATTCAATTGACTCAGCCATTTGGCATCTCATAATTCAGAACTTGAACCTCCCAACTGTTCTCTCCACCTTATGTGCTCACGCCCAGCGGAATTAGGGACCAGTTCTTCTGAAAACACTGTTTGAATTTTCAGTATCATAAAACAAATGAAAAAGGCCTGAGTACTCAGAAACACACTCAACTTCATCTGAACATACTTAAATAAAACCTTCAGTGATTCTATTCAGCAGAAGAAGGTGCTGATTTTTATCCAGACTAGCCTCCATTTCCTCAGAAGATCCTAATGTGTTTATTCCACTATCAATATTAAAAATCAGAGACCTACCTCTTCCACTCCGGCCCACAAATCTCAGATCGTTGAACCTTGCTACTTGGTTTTTCATAACAGCAGAGGCATTTCGGAGCTCGGCAGAATAATTTTCGTCGTTACCCGCCATGACGGTAACCACAGTCCCATCTGGTACCTCTCCCAGGGCCACCACCTACATAAAACAGGAAACACAGCAGCAATAATGGCACATCAGAAAAGCTTAAAAACTGAGAATTTATTTCCACTGTAAATGATGTGTCTTATCAGGATTCAGTGCTCTAGTCCAGGAATGACAGACAGGAATGATGCATCTGCCTCTGGGTCAGGATATGCCACTTCAAACAGACCAATGTTCCAGGGTCCACCCATTTCAAAGGCAGCAAAAGTTTCCTTCATTTGTTGCTGGATTCTTCACAGAATACATGTACATTTTTATTAAATCCCCATGTTAGGCTGTCCATAGGAATTATGCCACAGCAGGAAGGCTGATGCCTCATCTGCCGATTGCATCGTACATATTAAGGCACCGCCTGTCTGCAGCCTGGAGCGCCCTGAGGTGTGGTCTCACCCAGATCAGAGGCTAAAAAAAGAAAGTCTGGTCAGCTCTATGGGAGAAGACATTCAGATGAAATCTCAGCATTCCTGACTATAAGGGAAGCCTAAATATGGTGTGGTATCCAGCACTACATTTCATCTCCTTACTTTGGGCTACACAATTGGCTTCTAATCGCACTGCAAATAATTACTGAATGCCCACTCTGGGGCGAGAGACAGACAAAGCCATCAAGACACTTGAAGTCTCGTGCGGAATAAAAGGTATCTGACAAGGATGAAAACAGCCACTGACAATTGAGTGGTATAGATCCAAAATATATCCCTGGCCAAACTTGATCCTGTCTTGTCCCATCTGCCATTTGAGAATGACACAGCTGCCTCCTTAATCTTCAAGAACAGCTAGCCTGCGACAGATGAACTCAGTCAAGTAAGGATCCAGATCATCAGTCTTTGAGGTTAATAACCATTTTCACTGCTCCAAGGCTAGGGATCATACTTTTAACCAAGGTCAGCTGACTTGCAAATGGGTGCCTCTGTTGACCAAGAAGCCTGGTAAGAATGCTGGTGCACAGCCTGCACGGTCACATAGACAGGCTATTCTTAAGCCATTACCCAGACCCCGCCCCTTGATGATACCCTTTTTCTCAATTAACTTCCAGGATCCTATATTCAGATTATTTCCGCCTCTTCCTCATTCAGCTTCCAGATGCCCTTGTGGTGACTAAGCAATGGCTCCAACTCTCTGATAATAGAGAGGAGCCCACCACTCTCTGATAATAACACCCACGTGCACTTGCCCGTCTGGCAAATATCCCACTGATCCTTCTGTGCCTAGTGCTGGCTCTCCCCGTTGTCGAGATTTCCACGAGGCAAACTTAAGCATTTAATTCCATGCTCCCAATACAATTTGTAAATACTCTCATTAAAGCAACTTTTTTATAGTGTGATAAAACAGACACTGTAACTATGCTTTAGGGCTGAGTTTTCCCCAGGCATGAACCCCCACCCCAGCCCTCCTCTACTACACTGTACTTTCTATTCCGGCCAGGCCAACAACCAACACCACAAAAACTTGTCTATTTTTTTTCCCCGCCCTTGCTTTTCTCTTAGACCATTTCCCAATTCCATTCCCTCTTTAGCACTTCGTTATGCAGCTTAAAACCCTAAGCCTTCCTTACAGAACCCACTTCCACAGCACCCCGCTATCCTCAAATGATCCTCATTTCCATGTAAACATATTAGTGATCTACCTACTTCTTTTGATACATTAGACCAAAGCTGTGAGACTCACTCCTGGGAAACCAGATTACAGATTGGAAACTACATGAGGGAAGGGTCTTCATCGCCTTGCTCACCACCAAATGCCCAGCGCCCAAACATCACCTAGCATGTAGTAAGTGTCAGGTAATACTTTTGAAATAAATTGGTCAAAGAGCTCCATAAAGGGCAACGCCTCCCACAGCCAATAATCTGTGAGGCTCTCAGCTAACACTGTAAGAGAGAGAACCAGTTAAAGGCTGAGTCAGCATCTCTCGGTAACAGCAACAGGCTCTTGCGACCGGACTAGTTTTCTGACACCTTTTTCTGTCCCAGAGAAGAGGGAATTGCCCACTATCTCACTGGTGACTCTGTTCAGTCTGAGAAATCTCCCAGGTCAGGGGCCAATCCCTGGAGGACATGATTTTCTCCCTGTATACTTGATCTAATGCCTCGGGGGGCTACTGAATAGAGGTAATGCTGTGGTCCCACTGGAGACAACGCGCTTTTCCATTTTTTTCTGTATTCACAGGCCAAAAGTGTGAACATCTGAAAATGCTGAAACAGTTGACCATGTTTGGCCAGTATTCATCTGAACGTTTGACGTTTTTTACACTCAGCATATTGTGTTTTAGCACCTGCCGTGTGGCTTTTGATGTCAAAGTAAATATGGAACCAGTAAGCATACTGATGAAGGCAGAAAGATTTGTACTGCTCAGGAAAAAAAAAAAACACGAATGCACCAAAAATCAAGAGGCCCCTCTTTTTTCCCACCTCTCTAATACATCTGCTATGATGTCACACAAATAACTTCATCTCCAGGAACCACAGTTTTCCAATATAAATTAGAAATAATATTTTTAAGTCTGTATGATGTAGAATATACTGTACAAGTAGAGTGTAATTGCAATGATGTTCTTTTTGTAAAATGAGGAGGCTAACTTCGGTTCTAAGTCTGCTGTGTACTAAACATGGGCTTTTACTTATAAGCATTCTGAAAGCATTCAATTGGACATGTAATTCTCTACTTCATGTCCTGAGATGGGTTTTTTTGTTTTGTTTTGGGTGGCTTTTGTTTTGTTTTGTTTTGTTCTTTTGGTGCTGTTGAGAGATAGAAGATGGCTGCTGATGGGTTTCACTTCTGTCTGGCTAAATTAAAAAAAAGAAAGAAAGAAAGAAATCTGCCCCAATATAAAGATTTTCAAGAGCTCTGGGACATTATTATTTTACTGCATATTTTTAACATAATGGACTTTTTTTACTTAGAAGAAAAGGAAAATTGATTCAATATGGAAAAATATGAAAGAAAAGATCCCTAAGAGTGAAATACACAAATCCACTTTTCTTTGCTTAAGCAAAATAATGACCATGTTAAATATTGGTATGTTTTATGTATTGCACTTAATAACAAGACAAATAGGTAATCACAAATTGTGTGTGTCTTCTATGAGGCTTAGAACTTGGCCTAAAAATGAAATGCTCACACAATGTGGTGGCAACTTCTCCTGTTATGGCTGAACTCTATTTTAATGGCTAAATATATTGGGGTTTTTTTTCCTACAATTCACTCTACCAAATCAGATGCCTAATATTTTTCTGAGGAAAAGAAAAGAGGGAGGGAGTTTTGTATTTGACTTGATATCAATCAGAAGTATAATTATATGTCAGAGGGTTTAAAAAAAAAAAGTAGATCTCTGAAGCTAAAAAGTCTCCCTTAGAGATTCTCAACTGTGTTTATCTAAAAGAAAACCAAAAGAATCAAGAAATTTTTACACATTTCATCTGTACCAAACCTAGCAACGGAAAACATTTTAAGGGGTAGAAAGCAGTCAAAAATCGCTCTTTAACTAGTTAGGAGTAAGCACACATTAAAATCTGTTTCCATATTACCCAACACAAAAGATCCATTCTGCAAAGAACAGTTTGTGATGAAATCTTGACAATTACATTTCTAGGTGTTTTTAAAATATAAAGTCTACAAATTCAAGCAACTTCAGGCAGAAGAAGGAAGCAATTTTGTGTCTTGACATTTTAGAACAGAGAAAAAAGTTCCTTTATTTAGCACACCTCACTATAACTAGCATTTAAATCATATGATACGTAGCTTGTACAAAATATAGTAAAAGGGTACTTAACTCTAGAAACTACTGAAATTTTGTATGAGGCTCCTTATGACTAAATCTGTGAATTACCCCAAAACAGCAGCAATAGAAAATTAGCTCAGACCCTTAAAATTGTTTTTGTGGTCTTTCTGCATGGAAATTAAAATTGCCTATGACATATCCATGGACAGAAATCTAGTTTTAGCCAATCAATTGCTCTTAACAGACCAATATCATTTGGCACATTGTACTTGTGGCAAAATTGAAATATAATTACCTTTCAAGATAAAGTCTGATCAAATCTTTCTTTGGAATAAAAAGATGTAAGGGAGCAGTTGCAAAAAGGAAAACTTTCATTCTTACGGCAATTATTTAAAGATAACTTTAAACTAGTAAAACATTTCACAAATGTTACAGTGAATATTTAGAATTTAACCTAGAATTCAGGAAAACCCGACTGAATTGTAGAGAAAAAGGAAATGCGATATAAATACCATTTTAATACTTAAAAAAATATATGTCAAACAAGAATTTGATGGAAATTATGTCAGTATAAGCTAAGAATTTATGTGCCATGTATCAAGCTGGTTTAGATCATCTAACAATGAATGATCTAACATTTTGAAAGGAGACAAACAGCAATGCTAAAGGTGAGGAAATAATAAAAGATATCTTAACCATGCCTGTTTCCAAATAGAAGTTTTCTTAATATTTCTTAAAACGTTATTTTCAAATTGTTTCAATTATCTTTTACATATTCAGTCCTAAAATGTTTAATTCTTCCTGCATATAAAGGCAGAACACAAAAATGCATCTGTCCTCACACAACTTGAAATCTATTGTAATTTACATAATTCTGCCTAACAATTCACAGTACAGTTAATAAGGTTTTAATAGATTTAATAATCTGTTTTCCTTTGTTTGGGTATAATTACATTCAAAAAGACACAAACAGAAAACCTAATCATTACATACCTTAGGAATATACAACTCCCTAATGTCAAATATTTTATTAGTTGCATACTTGTTTTTGAAGAGAACAATGGCCAATGATGTTGAAAAAATCATTTTCAAATAGAAATTGCTCCATCATCTTGAAACTCTACGTATGACAAATACTGAAAGGTATCATTAAACATATAGAATTAACTATGAGCAATAGATCATATAACTAAAAACTGTGTTTTCTTTCTATAACATTGCCAGAAAAACATATGATACTGGTAAATATATAGTCCAGTGTTCTCTAACTTAAAACAGCACAATTGTCTTGCACCACTTTTAGTTTTAAAGTATACATCTGGACTTAAAAGTTCTGCATAGTGTTTCAGCTTGAAGCTATTTAAAGCAACTGAGTTATAAACCCTGAACACCAGACATCATGGTGAAAATGCTGACAGACCCCTGACTGTAAGGGTGCTACTGGATTTAAGGCTGACATGTTCTCTCCACTATTTCTACCAGACCATTAACTAATGAACTGAATTTGCAAACTTTTTTTTTTTTTTTTTTTTGGTCACCAGAATTATCTAGGACAGAAAGGGCATGGGATCCTCTAATAGTATCCCTTAACTATTTTAAGCTTTCAGTGAGATACACCTGAAAGAAATGTTAAAAATATTTATTTCCATTTCCTTGACACCTGGAAGGACTGAACATTACAAAACTGCAGAACTTTGTTAAAAATATAATACTAATAAACAACTTTGCGTATTTTAAAACGTACTGGTTGTTTTTGCAGTTTTACATGCTGCATATAAATAAATCATAAGTATTCTTGTGTAATCCCAAACAGCATCAGATGAACAACACTAATAAGTTACTTATGTCTTAACAAAATACACTGTCAATATCATTTTGAAGCATTATTTTAAATTAATACATCAAAACATTGACGTGTATTGAATTCATTTGATTCTTTACAACGCTGAGTTCAGTGTCACAGACATAAAACATGGACTCAATATATATGTTGATTTGAATACCAGATTTCTCAACAATTAAGTTCTGTATGTGTTTTTAGGTATGTTTACCTACCTACTATCTACCCAACACTTACTTACTTTGTACATATGTGCTAAATATGTACATAAGTACATATAACTTACTTTGTACATAGTGCTAAATATGATAGCCAAATTGCGGTCACCACTTTTAAAACTGAGACTTCTTCATATTATTTCTTCATTGCAGATGTATTTGATTATGTTACAAGGGTGCAGAAAGTGTACTGATCTCGGGCTTTTATCTCAGAAGAAAGGTAAAGAGAGATTCTTTTTACTAACATTCAGATGAAAACAATAAAAAAAATGTCAAAATCTGGATGTTCCAAATCTCTACACATCTTTTAAGCAGAGACAAAACTTACATACTGAGTGGATCTCAGCTATCACCTCTGCCTAAATTTTGTTAAATACAGGTATGGGGGTTGGAGAACACAGCAAATTATGTCTTAGGTTAACTCAATTTATTTTTCAATTGATACGAATTAAAATGCTGAATTTAATATGGTCATGTATAATCTATGGTTTGTTTACTGGTCAGAAGTAAAACCGCTGTGTAATTAACAATAGGGTGATGAGTAGCAAAGAAAACACTTTATTTTCAAAATAATTTTTAAAGGGTGGTAGTGAGAAAATCTAAAAATAACCGAAATATCTGAGAATAGCTCAAACACATTGCATTCTATCAAATTCTATGCAAATTCTTTGCCTTCTACCAAAAAGATCATTTCTATCCAGAATTCCAAGGCTCGAAATCAATTCAGGACCATAAAGGTAGGAAAACAGTTCAAGACAGTTATACCTTAAACACGGTTAGCAGAAAAAACGGAATGTAGAATACCAAACATCTAAACCCTATCTTTTAAAATGTAAGTACCTACCCATCTATTTTCATATAGCCTGACTTTGAATGCCTGACTTAGCATTATGTAGACAAAATATCTACTTATTTGTACTTGCTGTTTTCACCCAGGTTTTTTTGTTTGTGTTTTGAGGGGTCTGGGCTGGGGGGAAGGTGGAAACAAATTTCCACTCTGCTTAAGGTGAATTAGAACATTCTGGGCCTGTGGACGATGAATGTTGTAAAAGGTATCTCTTGTACGGAAATTCGAATTTCTACAATTCACATACATTCTCAGCTTTTCGTATTTCAAGGAGGAAAACATTAACCTACAAAATGGGAGGTTTATAAAGGGAGAACTGGAACAGTTAACACACACACACACACATACACACACACACACACACATTTCTTGAACCAACAGCAAAATGAAACTTGCCCCAGAATGCAACATCCCCTTTCCTTAACAATTCATTCTGATTTCTGTTCTGATGTAAGACCCAGCTAGATAACCAGTTCTAATTGACCTGGACTCCTCTTTCTTTCCACCCCACCCACACACGGAATCTGAATTGGTGCATGGGGCGGCGGCGGGAGGGGGGTGATCCACAACTGGAAACTGCCAGTGGCCTGTGGGAGTTTGGCCCCAGGGTCCACAGTGGCGGGGTTGGCACGATTCCTCACTACCCCCACTCTCACCGCCCCCTCCCCCCCCCCCGCGTCCCCGTCCCCCGGGCCTTGCTTACCCTGCTCTCCATGGATCCCAGAACCCAGGGACCCAGGCCCACCTTAACAAGTTCAGAGGCTAGACAGGGCGGAAGTGTCTTCCTGGGAGTGCTCTCCTCCCAGTCTGGCTCACCGCCCCCTCCATCTCAGGCGTCCAGCCCCGCGAGTGTGGACGGCCGGGTCATCCGTTTCCCCCATCAACCCGGTGCGTGCCCGGCCCTAGGGGCTCCGCGTCTCCCGCTGGCAAGGGCCGCCCGGGGAAACCTACACTGCGTTATGGAGAACCATCGGGCTACTGCGAGAGGCTCGGGACCCTGCACCCCCAACCTGCCGAGCCGCTGCCTGCAGCTCCGGCTGCAGACACCCGCCCTCCAACTAACGGGCCGGCGGGGCGGGCGGAGGAGGCCGCGGGCGCGCCGGGAGCGCTCTCAGGCCTCCGGGGTCGCTCCTCCGCGCCCGGGCCGCCAGCCGGGGCGTCCCACGACCTTTCAGCAACAGAAGGGCCCTCGGAGATTTAGGTCCTTTAAAAGTACCAATAAGAGAAATCCGCAAACTTTCACCTCTGCTTTCCAAGTGGGAGAGCCAAAGGCATTTCACAGGTTCCCTTCATCCCTCCCAGGTGGGGCGAGGCGGGAAGCTGGGTCCCGGCTCCCAGAGGCGGCCCGAGCCCCCGCCCCCTCCACTGGCCTGCTCCCCGCACTCTGGGGTCCAGCGCCCCGGACTCCTCCGGGCGCGCGGCGACCCTGGCGGCCCCGCCTTCCTCCCGGTAACGGGAACTGGCGCGGGTCTGCGAGCCGAGCGTACGCCCCCGTCCTGTCTCCCCCTCACTCGCTCCCAGAGTCCCTAGGTTCGCCGGGGACCCTCTTGGACACCGGTCAAGCGGCCCACGCGCCGCAGCCGGCACCCGGCGCCCCGCCCCGAACGCGAACGCCCGGCGCCGGCACCCCACGAGCACTGGGCCCCCGAGCCCCGGAGGGGCCGCGGCCGCTGAGGCTCCGGCGGGTTAGAGAAGGGGGCGCCAAGCCGGGCCGAGGGGCGCCCGGCTGGGAAGGGACAGGGTAGTAGCGCCTGAGACCCCCGAGGAGGGCGACGCGGGCAGCCCGCGTTGCGGGGAGAGCGGGCTGCCCCGCGTAGTAGACGCAAGAGTCCCGGAGAAGGAGGCCGGGGCTCCTCACCCCTGGGGAATGGGGGCGGGGTGGAATAAGCCGGGGTGGCGGCGCCAAGAGTGGGCACCTAGGGGCCCCTCTTAGAGCGAGGGGAGACGACTCAGAGGAGTGGGTTAGAAAGTGGGGGAAATGAAAGGATAGGGGGTCAAGGGCCAAGGCGGTGGCTGGCGGCACAGGTGGGTGAGGGAAGGATCCGCGCGGGCTCACCCTGCCCGGACGCTGCCGAGGGATCCGGAGGAGCGGGGCCAGTCGGGGGTCTCTCGGGTCAGAGCCACCAAGGTAGGAGGCCTCAGAGGCCGTCCGGGCCCCGGCCCCCGCGGGTATGGAGACGCGGGCCGGCAGGTCCCGCGGCGCCCGGCCGGGGGCGGGGGGCGGCCGCAGCGTCTTACCTTGAAGGCCACAGGCAGGGTCTTGTTGCATCGCCAGTGCGAGGGCAGCACAGAGCACAGGAAGTTGGGGCTGTCGGTGCGGACGAGCTCGGCCGGGTGGTCAGCGATGATCTCCACCATGGTGCGGTTGTCGTGCGGCGGCCGCAACCGGGGCACGGCGGCCGCCGCTGCCGCCGCTGCCGCCGCCGCCGCCGCCGCCGCCTCCTGCTGCTGTTGCTGCTGCTGCTGCTGCTGCTGCTGCTGCTGTTGCTGCTGCTGCTGCTGCTGTTGCGCAGCCACCACCGGGCTCACGTCGCTCATCTTGCCGGGCTGCAGGCTGCTGGAGGGAGGGCTGAAGCGCCGGCTGGTGCTCGGATCTACGGGAATACGCATCACAACAGCCACAAGTTAGCGATGTGGCCGGGGGAGGGGGAGGAGGGTGGAAATGAGGGGCGAGGAGGAGGAAATTGGGGGGGTGGAGGCGAGACGGGGGGAAAGGGGATGGAGGTGATGGGGTCGAGGAGGTGAGAAATCAAGTTCGATGAAGCCGACTGCCGGGAGGAGTCTGACGGGGGCCAGCGGTGGCGATGCAGAGCAGTCGGCTTGGCGGGTTAGGAGACCCGGGAGGCGCAGATCTTGCTGGAGCCTTTGGAACGCCCGCGGTGGCAGCTGAGAACCGGCGCGGGGACGTGTGTGGCCTGGGGAGGCAGGGGGCTTCAGTCTGCAGCGTGGAGTGGGGTCCCTTGGGGCACCGCGTCCTGGGTGCGCTGGCGCCCCCTCCCAGGTCGAGTCCAGCGGGGGAACCGAGTGGGTTCAGTAGTCCAGCCCCGCCGCAAGCATAGCCGCGCGCTGCCCGCCACCGCCGCGCCGCGCGCGCAGCTACCCAGCTGCAGTCGTCCGCGCCGCCGCCGCCGCCCGCCCGCCCTCCCGCGCTGCTGCCGCCGCCGCCTCCTCCGCGGCGGCCTCCGCTCCCCCCGCGCCGGCCGCACGCTCAGATTCCTCCCGCGGCGGCTGCCAGCCCGGCTCCCCTGCTCGGCTCCTTCCTTTCCTTTTTCCTCTTCTGGCCTTGTCACGGCCACCTCCTTGCATCCATCCACTGGCTCCTGCTATTTGCAAAGCTCCCCTGACCCTCGCGCGTCGAGGTGCCAGGAGGTAAGTCGCGGGCAGCGGATCTCGGGGCCACGGATCTCGAGCCTGCGAATCGCAGCCGCTGCCGCCGCCCGCCGGCGGAGAGCAGGAGCCCCGGAACGCAGCGCGCAGCTTCCGAGCCGGGGAGGCAGCCCTGGTCAAGGGGACTCTCGCCTGATCGCGTCCTCTCGCTTCTCCCCCGACTCAGGACAAGGAACCCCCTCTTGGTCGCACGAAGTTGAAGCTGAGACGCCAGAGAGCGGCCGGCTGCACTGACTGTCTTTATTTTTCGTTGTAACTTCAGGAGAGGAGGAAGGAAAATTCTTGAGTGTCTGTGCTGACTTCTCGGCACTCTTCACCCTTCCCCCACCCCATTCCCCCCCCCCCACCTCTGCCGGAGCGGCTCCCAGGGGAAAAAAAAAAAGATTTTGCAGGGTTTGGGTGCCTTTTAGTCTCAAGTGACACAAAAAATTGGGGTGGAGGGGACACTTGTCAAATAGATTTTAGAAACTCAAGTGGGTGGCTCGACACTTTTTCCTTCTATATTCAAACTTGTTCCTAGAGAACAAGGATGAGGTTTATTTTTAAGGACTGGAAACCTGTCAGCTGGATGATTAAAATAAGTTGCAAAAACCTTGCGGGGGGGGGGGAAGCCCTAGCAGTTTTCCATGAATTGCAATCTTTTATTAAGTCTATTCTGCATCTAAAGCTAAGACTAATATCTTAACTTTCTTCCCCACTACTCCTGGAGGAAAAAAATATAAAAATACAAAGTAAAATATCCAAAATGCTTCATTGGCTATTTATTTATGTATTTATTTCCCAGTGTGGGTTAAAAAAGCGACTTTGGATCCCCCAAAAAGTTGTGGTCGAGAGGATGAAGGAGCGCGGGGAAAAAAAAAAAGCGGCAGTTTTACCTAAAATGTGGTTTTTGGAGGCTGGGATTTCTAATGATTAGGTTTTTGTGGTTTATATAGACACGACTCTGGCTAAGGCGATCATTACGCTGATGAGAGTCAGAAGCACGTGGGTGTCTCCGACCAGCCTCAAATTCGGAACCTTCAAAACAAATAAAACAATGTGCGGCGCCCGCAGAAGCCGGGAAATCCGCTTGAGGCTCTTGCACCCCCAAAAAGGGGACAGAGGGCCGTTTCCCTTCCTGGTTGTGTACTGCTACTTTCCTTGCTTACTGTCAAAACTCCTTTAAACCTCCCAACGCCTGAAGACGTGTTTGCGAAAACAGTCCTAGTTGCCAAAGCTTCCAAGATTCGTAATAGCGTAGCTGACGCGATAATACGTGATTGTATAAAATAAATGAAAAATTACAACGCTTCCCTCTCGGAGTATTAAGGAAGATAGTCGTCACTCTTCCCCCCACCCCCCACCCCCCGCCCCCCCATCTGATTGAAAACAATTCACGTGCCCATTAATTGACGTTTTTACTGCTCACTCAGCGCGAACGCCTATGTCACCCTGGTAGCGACCTGCCACGACCCTCCCCCCTGCTTTTTAAAGCCTGGCGTCCCCTTGCTGAGCAGGCGCACGGGGTCTGCGCCTTTGAAGGGGGCCTGGCAGGGCTTCCAGGGCGTGTGGGAGCTGCAAAGGGGACCTGGTGCCCGTCACGAACTGGGGAGCCCATTTCAAGGGCAAAGGGAACGTGGAGGGCTGTAGGGATAGGGCTGCGACACCGGGATCGCCCTTGAAAGAGATGCGCCGGCGATAGAAGGCCCTCAAACAGCTGGAGCGGAGGTGGGGGGCCCAGGTGGTTGGTTAGGCGTGGGCCCTCGCGGGGGTAACGACGGGGTTCAGGGGACGCTGCTCCGTCCTTCCTCTCTGGGGCTTCATTTTGACCTTGTCTTGATCCATTTACTATTCCACGCCTCCCTCGTGCGCAGTTTTCTCTCCCCGTTCCCGCCTCTCCCCCACATCCCCCCACAGACGCGAGCCTCTTCGCCGCGCCCCTCCCGCCTCCTCGGCCTCCCCACGGCCGGGGGACACATTCTGCATCACCAGCGATGCCACCCCCCCCCCCCCAAAAACCTACTCACTGCCCCTGGCCTACAGGCTTGCCGACCCCACCCCAGGCGCGGAGAGAGTTCGAGAGAGCCCACTGATGGCGATGAACTTGATGCGCAGCGAGGGACTGAGCGGTCTCCTGCGCGTGCGATTTTTAATTATCTTTTCCGTCACAGGGGAGAGCTCTAACCCCGGGCACCGCCGCGCCGCGTGCGCGCACAGGGTCGAGTCTTCCCCAGCAGCTGGCGGCGGTTACCCCTCCGAAAAGAGAGAGACCAGAGTACATCCATTACCCTCCTACCTTACACACCCCCTCACGTACCCTCGGACCCACATTCTCGCACAGCCACACGCTGACACTCATCGGTACACGCGCGCGCGCGCACACGGGGCTTGCTAGCTTTTTTTTTTTTTTTTTTTTTGGTTTGGTTTGGTTTGGTTTGGTTTGGTTTGGTTTGGTTTGGTTGCCCTTGAGCGGGAAGGTTTTATTTTGGGTATGTTGTACCACTGTCTTAATAGAGATGCCTGACTTGTTTTGTTTTGTTTTGTTTTGTTTTGAAATATGTAAGGGCTTCAAAGGAGGGGGGAAGTTACAGAAGCTGTATTATTTCTGTAATCAAAGGGAGATAGAAATTCATTGACTAACTAACCATGGTGGGTGATACGCAGCCTTCTCTGGGGCTGTCCTCCTCCCAGAAGGAAGCCATGGAGTAGGAAACTCCCAGAAAATTTTAAGACGCTAAGTCGATATTTCAAATATAGACGACCAGATGGACTTTTTGAATAAAAAATTCTAGGGCAGTTAGAATTTAAGTAATCATGTTGGGGAATTTTCCTCCCTTTCTCCATATCTGTTCCTTCCTTTCTTTGTTTTACACAGTAAAACATGGAGGCCTCAGTGGTTGGGTACCCTGACTGGTGATTTTAAGGGCAATTTAATCAATGGTGAATTATTTATTTTAATTAATCATGTCTGGTAATTTAGCTTCACAGCCTTCCTTGGGCATCTTCCTTCCATTTCACATTTCAGTGGAACTAATATAAGCAGCTCTTGGAAGTTACCAGTCTTGGATCCCTTAAAATATCCTACAGTTATTTATAATGTGGAAATGAAATTTTCCACTGAATACCCTAACATCGTTTCAGGTATCTGGCACAGCAGATTTTCAGTCTCCTTTCAAAAATATCCTCTTGCTGAACGTTCACACTTTCAGCTGGAACTGACTGAGCCTGGAACTCATGATGTCTTGGCTCAGAGCATTATACTTAAAGGAAGAAAACATTTTTACAGACCCCTAAACGGAACCTCTCTTGGTAATAGCAGGCACATAGGAAAACCATGAAATTTTTCATATGTGTATTTTCTGCTATAGTTTGCATGATCTCACTCTTGGGTTCAGATTTTCTTCTATTCCAAAATATTCAGAGCAAGTCACTCACTAGATTCCTATTCCTATTCAGAAAATTCATGTTTTCTGTTGTGTGTTATGGCATACGAAAGAACATACTTTTCTGAAAATGTACGTACTCCAAAAGATACAGGCACATTTCCCCCCTCCATCTCCTTTAATATTCAGTATAACTGTTTAGTAACAACACCTGCCAATTCTGACTTTTCAAACAAAATGAGATGTAAAACAGTCAGCTTATTTATCTAGCCAAAGAACTGAATTCCCCAAACCAGGAACAGAACCCATGCTTCTTACATTCAGATTTCATTGTATAATCCCCATGCATTATTTAAAGATACTTCTTCTTGGTGAAAAGTAAAAAAGTCACTGCAAAATCTTAAAGTGGTTTTCAACGGACCATCTAATAAAGTGGGATGGCCTTTCAGATATACAATAGAAAATCACGGACATATTGTTGATCCATAAAGTTTTGAATGCGTCATATGGGAAAACCTTATAAACAGAACCATCTTTACAGAGTTTTCCTTTGGATTGTGATTGAACGAAAGCTACCCAGCCCTCAAAAAAACAGCCCTGCAGCAGACTAGGAATTGTCTTACTATAGCCTTTAGGCCAAATCTGGCCTGACACCTATTTTTATAAAACCCACAAGTTATGAATGATTTTTGCATTTCCAAATAGTTGGGGGAAATAAAAGAAGAATAACATTAAATGAAAATGATATGAAATTCACACATTAGTGTCCACAAATAAAGTTGTATTGGAATCCAGCTATATTCACCTGATTTTGTATTTGTCTGTAACTGCTTTCACCTAAAACAGCAGAATTAGGTAGTTGCAGCAAAGATTGTATGGCCTGCACAGCCTAAAATACTTAATGTCTTTTTTTTTCGCAGAGGACGTTCA